ATATCCACTTTTATGAACTTCCTTCTTTTGAGAGGAAAATACTCAAATGTATTAGCAGGCCACGAGGTCAGATGAAAAAACTATCTGAAATGGACTATTGTGACATTGTAGAATAGGAAGAAGGAAAAATTAATAAGGATTAAATGCTAGTATTGAACATCACTACATCTCTTCAAGCTTCCTCAGAGACTCAAGTAGTCTCTGAATAATTTCTTATAGAAATCAAGAATCCATTCAGGCAAAACTGAAATAAAATATTGATTGCTGTGTTAATGATGAACAGAATCTCACATACTTTGGACACTTTATCAGGAGGGTCCAGTCCCTGGAGAAGCACATCACAGAAGGTCAGACTGAAGATCAGATGGGCTCAAGTTTCATCAACTTCTTTTTTTAGTATTTTGCCTATTTTTAAAATTCTGTTGTTTCTCTTTTTATTGTTTATTTGTAGGAGTTCTTTCTATGTTTTGGATGAGTCCTTTATCTTGTTAATACAGGGTCTTTTGTTGTTTGGTTTGGAGTTTTTTTCATTTGTTTTCTGTTTTGGTAAATTGTTGTTGATTCACTTAATTCAGTGTTTTAGCCAATAATAGCTGTGTTTAATGAAAAGTTTATTTTTTTCCTTTCTAGTTTATACAGTCTATGTCCTTCTTTAGTAATCTTTTCTGCTTCAGTGTTATGAAGTTATTTTTCTGTATTTTTTAATAGAGACATGACTGTGTTTACTTTCTTACATAAGAATATGATCTAATTTGAATTCTTTATTAGACTCTATGAAAGACAGGGGTCAAGGTTAATTTTTACTCACAGTACATAGTTCTAGTATGCATTGCAGTGGCAGTTTCTTTCTAAATCAAATACATGTGTGGGTCAGTTTCTGGATATTTATTCTGTTCCTTTGGTACCTTGTCCATCCTTGCATCAGCATCACATTGTTTTAATTATTATAACCATATTATTTTATCTTTCAATATTGCAACACAAGGCTTAAATTTGTTTTTCTGTTCTTTCAGCTTGAGAAATGCAGAGTGAGTTCTTCCCTTTTATTCTCCAATTCTAGCTCCTGCACATTCCATTATAATACTTTATTTTGTCTTCCTGAGCTGCCTTTTGAAGTCATCTGTTCAGCTCTTTCACTTTGACATGTTTTCCTTTAGATTTGGCTTCTCAAATATCCAGTGAATCTTTAGAGTCTCTCCTGAAATCCATTTCAATTTTTTCCCTTTGTTTTTGTAATGGACAATATATTGAATAACTCAGAATATATCAAAAAAAGTCTGAGAGAGTACACAGTGACTGTACCAGAAAGAACTGATTGCCACTGAAAAGTTGCCAAAAGTACTATATGAACAGGAGCCAATGGTAATGAAAGAGGAAGTGGAAGGTACATTGAAGGCATTGGCATAAAATAAGGCCCCAGGAATCGATGGGATACCAATTAGTTTGTTTCAGTGAATACATGCAGCATCGGATGCACTCACCAGTCTATGCCAGGAAATTTGGAAAACGGCTGTCTGGCCAAAAGATTGGAAGAAGTCCATATTTGTTCCCATTCCCAAGAAGGTTGATCCAACTGAATGTGAAAATTACCACGCAATATCATTGCTATCACATGCCAGCAAAATACTGCTGTAGATCATTAAAAACTGGCTGGAACAGTACATTGGCAGGGACTTGTCAGATGGATCCTGGCTGAAAGTAAGGAGTGCCAGAAGAATGTCTATTTGTGCTTTATTGACTATGCAAAGGTGTTTGACTGTGTTTGACAAGTTATGGCTGATATTGAGAATGGGAATTCCAGAGCACTTCACAGTGCTCATGCAGAAACTATGCCTGGATCAGGAGGCTCTTGTATGAGCGGAGAAGGGGAGCACGGCATGGTTTGGAATTGAGAAGGGTTTTGTCCTATCTCCATACGTGTTTAATCTATATGCGGAGAAAACCATCCAAGAAGCTGAACTCTATGAAGAGGAATGTGGCATCAGGATTGGAGGGAGACTCATCAATAATCTGTGTTATGTAGATGACACAGCCTTACTTGCTGAAAGTGAGAAGGACTTGAAGCACTTGTTGCAGAAGATCAAGGAATGCAGTCTTCAGTATGGATTGCCTCTCAATATCAAGAAAACAAAGATTCTTACCACTGGAACAATAGGCTGTGTCACGATAGATGGAAAGGAGATTGAAACTGTCAAGCACTTCATCTTGCTTGGATCTACAATTAACATCCTTGGTATGAGCAGTCAGGAAATAAGAAGATGCATTGCACTGGAAAAATCTGCCATTAAGGATCTTTCCAAATTATTGAGGACTTCTAATTTTATACTGAGCTCCTGCATTCTTTCTGGATGATGATCTTGATATCCTCCCACAGCTCATCTGGTCTTCACTCATTAGTGTTCACTGGATTTCCTAATATAAAAGTGGATATTATCCTGTCACTCCCAACATTGTATTTCAAGATAAATCTAGAAATGACACTTTTAACTATGAAAGTGACCCCATTTTTCCTCAACTTTTCATCTCAAGCATAGTAGATCATATGATCACCTGACTCAAAATGTCTCATGCCAATCCATCTCAATTTGCAATACCTAACATGTCAAAATGTATGTGTTCCATTTCTTTCTTAACAATGTCCAATTTTCCTTCATTCATGCTTCTTATATTCCATGTTCCAGTCACTAGTGTCTGCTTGCAACTGTTTCTCCTCCTTTGTGTTTCCATATTTGAGGGCTCAACCTCAGTTGCCATATCTACTAGGCTAAGCGTGCTCTATTGTACGTAGAGTTTTTGAAGTCCTGCTATTTCAAAAGTGATGGCCAACCCTTCTTCCTAGTCTGTCCTAATTTGAATGCGCAGTTTTAGAGCAGTATCTGACAGACAAGCATTTTACAGGAAAGAGATGTAAGATATTTCCCCAATAGAAATAACCAGTAGATTCTGTATTGTCCCCATCCTTGACACGTATTTCACCCACCCTTTCCCTGCCCCACCAGCTTTCCTTTCTAATCCCACCTACGCTATTCAACACCTATGTCCCTTTATCTTGCCCTTGATATGATGGCTTGCATCCTGATCCTTGGGCTTCTATGATTTCAAGCACCTCAAGCTGCTGCCATTTTCTTATTCTGTGGCCAGTATCTCTTGAGTGTGTATCCTTTCTTCATACCTATTCAATCTGTTTGCTGAGTAATAATTTATGAAGCCAGACTCTATGAAGTATGTGGCATCAGGATCAGAGGAAGAATTGTCAACAACTTGTGTTATGAAGATGACACAACCTTTCTTGCGGAAAGAGAAAAGGATCTGAAGTGCTTGTTGCAGAAGATCAAAGATTACAGACTTCAATATGGATTACATCTCATCAAGAAAGCAAAGGACTAGTGGACAACATCATGATAGATGGATAGAGGATTGAAACTCTTAATGAGTTATCTTACGTTGATTCATTATCAACACCCTTTTTACCAGTAGTCAGGAAATGAGGAGACATATTGCTTTCCAAAAATGCTGAATAGCAATGATGTCAGTTTGAAGACTAAGGTGTGCCTGATTCAGGCCATAGTCTTCTCAATCACTTGTTATGCATCTGAGAGTTGGACAATAAAGGAGGGCAGTAGAAGAATTGTTACCTTCAAGTTGTGGTGTCGGATAAGAATACTGAATATCATATAGACTGCCAAAATAATGAATAGATATGTCTTGGAAAAGGTGCAGCCAGAGTGCTCTTTGTAGGCAAGGATGGCAAAACTTCACCTCTCATACTTTGGGCATGTTGTGAGGAAAGATTATTCCTTGGAAAGGATACAATGCTTGGAAAGGTAGAGGGTCATTAAAAGAGATAAAGACCCTAAATAAGATGGAGGTGTGATTATAACAATGGGTTCAAGTGTTCCAGACAGTGAGGATGTCACAGGATAGGACCAGATTCAGATCTGTTGCTCATAGGGTCTGTATGAGTCATACTTGACTCGATGGCACCTAAGATGAATAACAGCACCACTACAGCGATCCTCTTCTCTTTTGTTGACAATTTCACTTTCCCAAGCATGATGTCCCTTTCCAAGAAATAAACTTTTCTAGCAATATGCCCAAAGTATGTGTGTTAAAGCTTCACCATCCTTGCCTCTAAGGAGTCATCTGGCCACACCTCCAATACATCTTTTTAATGTTTTCTTTTAATTTTTTCATTGTTGCACATTTTTTGTCCTCCTTCCCCTCCCCTCTCCCCAAACCTTCCCTGCAGTGCACCCCTTGTTCCAGATTATGGTCATACATATCAGTTCTTACCCTTATCTGATCTAATGCAGTGTTCATTATCCACTTTTTCCTCATTCTCTCCACAACCCCCCAATGTTTGTCCTATTTAAAAATAGCAATGTTATGCAATTTTTGTCCTTTTGTGACTGAGATATTTCACTCAGCATAAGTCCTCCAGGTTCCCCAATCTTATGTAAAGTTTTATGAGTTCATTGTTTTTAAAAACTGCATAGTATTCCATTGTGTGAATGTACCATAGTTTTTTTTTATCCATTCATTTTGATGGACACTTGAGCTGTTTCCATTTCTTTACTATTGTGAATAACACGGCAATAAACATGGGTGTGTATACATCTATTTGAGTCATCCGATACATTTCTGCTTGTTCTTTTGTTGTATTCCTGTTTGCATTTTCTGGCATATACCTAGGATCAAGCTTGCTGATTAAGCAAAAAGCTGTACTGCCAACCCAAAGGTGCACATTTCAAACCCACCAGCTAGACTATGGGAGAAAGAAAGGCAATCTCCTCCAGTACAATTTACTGCCTCTGAAAGCCCCTTGGAGGGGCAGCTGCAAGTTGGTATACAACAACACATCTAAAACTAAAAGCGCATTAATCAACAAATTACTGTATTACATAGTTTTGAGTTAAAAAAATACATGACTTTTTTTTTTTTTTGCATGCAACTGAGGTCTTTTGTACCAGATTTTAACTTGAAATGTCTTTCCCTTATAGGAGGAATATCACAAACGTAATTTCACAGAGGTGCTTTCACCCAATATGTACAATAGTAAGCTCTGGCAGACCTCGGGCCATTGGCAACACTACAGCGAGAACATGTTTACCTTCAACATTGAAAAGGAAACTTTTGCTCTCAAGCCTATGAATTGTCCAGGGCACTGGTAAATTTGCATAATAACGTATGTTGTACTTTATCACTGTTTACTTTTGATGGATTGGAGTTTTTTCCCTTTTTAAGAATCACATAATTCCTTTAAAGACGAGGTTAATCGTCTTCACCAATTTATTTTATGTTAGGAAATGAATATACTTTTAAAAACAGATTTGACCTTTGATGAGTATGGAATGTAGCTGGAAAATATTTAGTGTTTTATGCTCTTAAATAATGATTTTTTTTAACTTCTATTGTGATTTTAACAGATGTTTACAGAAAGTTTAGGTTTTTATCAGTTTTATAAATTATTGTAATATTTCTTATTAATAGCAATTTTTTTCAAATATGAATGTTTATGAAACATTTAATTCTCATTACTCCTTGATTTAATTATATAGTAAGATGAATGGATCATTATCAACTGGTACCCAAGATCTAAAAAATATTTCTCTTCTCACCCCACCGCAACAGTACGGAAATTGGAACACGTTTTATAATCAGTGCCATGTTAACATTAAGAAATTTAATCAATTAAATTAATGTCATTTTCTCTCTTGTTTGAAGCAGTTGGATTCTTGAAAGCAGGCCATTTTTATTTTATTAACAGTCAGTTGTGGACTGTTTGGTCTTTTTGTTTCATTAATAGTCAGTTGTGGGCTGTTAGGTCTTTTTAATTTAATGAATAGTCTGGTGTGGGTTGTTTGTTCTTTTTAAAATTTAAACAATCTGTTGTGGGCTACATGATGCTTATTTAGACAAATTAGGACCCTAGTTTTTAGAATTCAAATACATCTTGGGGAAAGTGCAGCCAGAGTGCTTTTCATAGGCAAAGATGATAAAGCTTCACCTCACATACTTCAGGCATTTTGTTAGGAAGGGCTATTCCTTGGAGAGGGACATCATGCTTGCAAAAGCAGAGGGTCAGCAAAGGAGAGGAAAACCCTCAGCCAGGTGGATTGACACAATGACTACCATAATAGGCTGTAATGTGTCAAGAAGTGTGAAGATGGTACAGGATAGAACAGGGTTCAGATCCTCTGTTCATAGGGTCATTGTGAATCATACTTGACTCAACAGCACTTAACAACAACCCTAATGTAATTTTCTTGGAAGTACATAAAAATAATGGTATAATTAAACTGATGCATTCTTACAGTCTTTGAAAGATAAGAGTTTTCATAAAGTTGGTATGCAGATCTAGCTGCATAAGGCAAGGTAATTTTAAATCTAGAATGAATAAACATTTTTCTTCAGTTTAAAAATCTCCACAATTTTACTTTTTTATTACTAACATATATAAACTCAAACTCATTGCTGTCAAGTCAGAACCAACTCATAGCTGACCCTCTGTGGATTCTTGAGGCTGTAAATTGCATGGGAAGAAATTGTGCCTTTTTCTCCTGAGAAGCTGCTGGTTGATTTGAACCACCAGTGAAGAGTGATCTTTGAATTAGCAGTGCAACTTCATAGACATTTCAGCCCCATAGTTTCAAGTAAACTGATTATAGAAATAACTACTCAGTACTTGTCCTTTTGTCACTGAGATATTCCACTCAGCCAAAAGTCCTCCAAGGTGACCCATGTTGTATAACATTTTATGAGTTCCTTATTTTCAGTGCTGCATAGTAGTCCATTATGTCAATATACCACAGCTTTTCTAACATTTGTTGATGGACCCTTGGATTACTTTCATCTCTCTGCTATTGTGGATAACTCAGCAATAAACATGGGTGTACATATTCAACTTCGGTTTCTGTAGTGTATATTCCTAGTAGTGGAATTGATGGGACATTTATAAAACAAGACTGCCAAGGGTGACGCTATGAAAGAGGGCATAAATAATGAGCACTGCATTGGAATAGATGATGGAAAGAACTGTTTAAAAGGAATATATGATTAGACATTATTTTCATGACGACAGTCCAGAATAAGAGGTGCATAGCAAAGTTGACTAGAGGGGGGAAAGAGGAAATTATACAACATGAATGAAGAGTTTGGGTTGGTTTTTTTTTAAAAGTGAACTGGGGTGGGGGTAGGGAAGAAAACGTGCAACAATCAATGAATGGAAATCCAAGTTTTCTGTAAACATCATTAAAATCACAATTTAAAAATTATTATTTTTTAAAAATAAATAACTATTAAACAAGCCACAGAATATTTTAGAAAGTTCTTTGTTATTTTTTAGCAAAGACTGAAAGAAATCCAAGTTTGTGATGACAGGCTATAAAATATTTAACTAATTTTGTGAAAAATAGAATGTAAAAATTCATTCCACTTTCTTTTTTAAGTGCTTTGTATTTTCAAAGACACTTGTTCAGCAACTTCTTTATTTAGTTTGTCATTAATTTTCCTAACTAATTTCAGCTAGAATTTTAAGAGTGAAGGAAAAGAGAGACAATTTTATGAGACTAAGCTGGCTGACCAAAGCCTAGTAGGATGTAGGAGCCTAAAGTCTTTTCTAAAGGATCTTTAATTGAAGAGAAAACACACATAAGCTAAGTGTTTGGACCCCAAATTACAGAAGTGATGAAGGCACAGTCCCTTTCCTCAAGGAATTAACAGGCAGAGCGGAACAGGAGCAGGTTTGCAGGTAGTAAGAGTAAGAGGAGTGCTACCACAGTAGCACCCATGGAGTGTAAGGAAGCTGAACTAGCCTGTCTGGCAAAAAGTCCAGGAGAGATTCACTTAAGAATTACTTATCAAAATACTTGTAAGTGATATGTAAAGGTTTAAGGGTAGATAAGGTTTTAAAGTGATAAGGGTAGAAAATATCCTTTCTGGAAGAGATAATGACATGGTTATTTCTTAGAGTGCCACAGTATTGTAAATACAAGGAGCAACACATAAATGAGGAACTTAGGTTCACCTAGGTAGCATAGTCAGTAGGGAGCTGCCGTGTTAGCCCACAGGCCACAACTTTCTGGCGGTTCAAATCTGCCACTGGCTCTGAGTGAGAAAGATGAGTCGTTTCCTCCCAGGCAATTGACAGCCTCAGAAAACCCTCTGAAGGATCAGCAATGAAGATATTACAATTCAACAGAGAGTAAGGTAGTGACTCTAAGAAACAGGATATGGAATTTACAAATCTTGAGGCCTGTTGGAATTTTACAGGGTTTATATAACTATGTAACTTTTTCTATGCTATGTAAAAGCTATGTTATTGTATCTTCCTAGTCTAATGTTTGCTCATCATCTACGATCTTGGAGGGAACTGCCTGTTAGATTAGCAGATTTTGGAGTTCTTCATAGAAATGAACTGTCTGGGACATTGACTGGCTTGACTCGCGTTAGGCGCTTCCAGCAGGATGATGCACACGTTTTCTGCACAGTCGAGCAGGTAAACAATAATCCAAGGTGCAGCGAGGTCCTCACACATCCACAGTATTGTTCTGATCAGGGTAGTCTTCAAAGCTGGGGAGGGGAGACTCTGTTGTAGAGTAAGAGCCTTGATCTTCTCCCAGAGCTTCCATTCTACAATAAGTGAGGCTTTAATTTTTATCAGTACGTAAATGTTCTCTTTTATTTCTAATTTTTATTAGTACATAGATAATTATTCATATGCATTGTGTTTGATTCATTTACATAATGGTTTGTCTGTATGTGTGTCATGCTTTCCTTCATTGTTACTATGTCTAATGCAATCATTCCCATACATTATGTTTTGTAAAATTAATCACCATTGGACTATATCTGTCCACCATTACCCCAAATATTCTCTTGATACGGATTTTTTCTTTTTTCTTCAACTTTCACCAATTATTTTATTAATTGAAATTTCATTAAGTGAAATAGATTTAAATGGACTTGGTAAAATTTTAAAGGATATTATGTTTTTATATTGCCTAGAACTTTTACAGATGTCATGCTAACTCAAGTTAAAACTAATACAAAAAGGCTGCCTACTGACACTGTCACCATTTTTACTTAATATTTATCGGATGACTTAGCCAATAGTAACAATAGAATACACATTCTCTGAAAGTATATAAAGAGCATTCACCAAGGTAGACAATGTTTTGGGATATTAAACAAATCTCAATAAAATTTAATGGATTTTGTATAAAATCAATATGTATAAAACATATTTTCTGATCACAATGGAATTAGAGTAGAAACCAATAACTGAAAGGTCTGGAAAACTTTCAAATATTTGGTAAATATGTAAAACACATCTAAATGAGTCAAAGAAAATATCAGAAGGGACATTTGAAAAGAGAAACTGAATGAAAAGGAACACATCTAAACTCATGGATGCCACTAAAATGCACTTATATGGACATCTAAAGTACTAAATGCCTACTCTAGAAAAAGAAGAAAGGTTTAAAATCAACCATGTCATCTCAGCTTCTGCTTAAATTAGAATAAAGGGGATCACATCAAAGAAAGCAGAAGAAGGAAAATAATAAAGGCCAGAGCAGAAACCACAGAGAATATCAATGAAAACCAAAAGCTAGTTCTCTGGTCAACTGATGATGCTACAAAATTTCTAGTCAGACCTATCCGAGTGAAAATCTATGGTGGTGTTGTAAACCATCAAGTCAGATTTTGAGAGGCAGTCAATCTCATGGGAGGAGACTGCCCAACTTTCACCTGCTGAGCAGCTGGTGGACTGAACCACTGTGCCTATGGGTTGGCAGCACAGCTCACCCTAAGGCACCAGTGCTCCCTTTCAGGGTAAAAAGGAAGACACAAATTAAAAATATTGAGAATGAGAAAGGTGATATCTTCATGGATATTAAGAGAATGGTAAAATAATATTATAAACCATTTTATGCCAACGAATTTGATAATTTAAGTAAAATGGACATATTTCTCAAAACATTAACTACCAAACTTGACTCAAAAAGAACTGAATAATCTGAGCAGGCCTGTATCTGAAGAAGCTGAATTGGTATTTTAAAACTATTCCACAAACAAAATTCCAGGCCCATGTTGATGTCAATAGTCCATTTTACGGAACTTTTCAGGCATAAATACCAATTAGAGCCAATTCTTCCAGAAAACTGAAAAGGGAGAAATCTTTAACAGCACGTTTGTGAGGCTGCCATTGCTCAATAACAAATATGATAAACCATTACAAAAAAACTACAGGTAAAATGTCCTCTTGAAAATTTTACTACCCTAAATCCAATAGTATTTTTCCAATAATGGGTTTTTCAAAATAATGCTGTATCATGACCAACTGGGTTGTACTACAGGAATGACAAATTGATTTTACCTTAGAAAATAAATTAATAAAATTCACTGTATTAACAGACTCAAAAAGAAGACATCATAGTAAAGTGGACTGGGGGAGGATAACAATGAAAGAATTTTCTTTTTCTTTTCAAAGAGAAAAGCGAACTGGGGGAAGGGGTGGACAAGGAGAAAAATGTGCAACAATGAATGAATGGAAAGCCAATTCCTCTACAAACTTTCATTAAAATCTCAATATAAAAAAAGAAGACATCATCTGGTTATTTCAATAGATGAACAAAAATAATTGGGAAGTATCCATATCTCAAATACATCAGAAAGGATGAGTATGGCTCAGAATAGGGTTTAGATCTGTTGTTCATAGGTTTCCTATTGTTGTTTTTGTTACGTGACATTGAGTCACCTGTGACTCAAAGCAACCATATGTACAACAGCTCTGAAATCTGCCCTGTTCAGAGCCATTCTCACTGACTCTGACACATCTATCCCCATTGCCTCAGTTACTGCATCAATCCATCTTATCCAGGGTCTTCCTCTCCTGCACTGTCCCTCCACCTTTCCAAGCATGATGTCCTTCTCTAAGTACCACTCCCTCCTGGCCACATGCCAAAAGTATGTGAGACAATAAACTTATAAAACATTACACAACATGAGGTACCCTGGAGCACGTCATACTGAGTGACACATCTTACTTACAAAAGGACAAATACTGCATAGCATCACTGTTACAAAGCAGGTCTGACATGGGGGTGGGTAGAATACGATGAGAGTGGATAACTAATGAGCACAGCATTGGAACAAATGAAAGAAAGAACTATATAAAAGGAATCAAATGATTAGGCATTGTATATATGACAGTAACCCAGAACAATGGTTTTTCATTGCAAAGAGAACTGGGCTGGGAGGTGGGGAAGTAGGTAATTGTGCAACAATGATTTTTTAAAAGGGGAGGTGGAAGAGAGAGAGAAGATAAAATGTACAATGAATGAATGAAAATCTAAATTCTCTGTAAACATTCCTTAAAATCACAATTAAAATATTGTTTTTAAAACACCCTAGACTCAAGGAGAAACTTGGTTTCACCCTGTCCAAGACGAACCTATTTATTTTCTTGGTATGCTGAACATGGTATGTCCAAGATTCTTTTCCAGAACCACAACTCAAAGGCATCGATTCTTCTGCCATCCTCAGTCATTGTACAGCTGTCTGATACATAGCAGTAATTGTGCACTTAGTCTCGAGACCGACATTGTTGTTTCTCAGTACTCTGGAGAGGTCCTTGACAGCAGATTTTCCCATTGCAATTTGTCTTTTGATTTCCTGACTACTGGTGCCAAGACTACTGACTGTAAAGCCAAGCAAAATATAATCGTTAACAACCTCAATCTGTTTTCCATCTACTATGGTGTTGCCAATTTGGCCCAGTGGTGAGGATCTTTGTTTTCTTGATGTTGATAGTCATAGTCAACTGGATGGCATCAACGACAACAACAATGAACCACTGAAGATTAAAAAGAAGTATAGAAATATAAAAAAACTTAAGGGTTGTTGTTGTTTATTGCTGTCGAGTCAAGCACGACTAATAGCAACCCTATGGAAAAAAGGACTGAAGCCTGTCTATAACTATCATCATTTATCAAAGTTCATAGAGTTTCCAGAGGCATGGTGTTTAGGAAGTAGATGCCACTCCTGCTTTCAAACCTGTCTTAAACCAGGAGCTCCACCAAACACTGTCAACCAAGGGTAACTGTTATGTCTTTTGACATCCCAATGTCACAAGATTCAGCATCACAGCAACCCCAAATTATCTGCATATTGACAGAACAGTGCTGTACCATTTAGAAGAATATTCCTCAAAAACATAATAAAAACTGACTTTTAAATACAAAGCACTCCTGGAGGTCTTGTTGACTCTAAATGAGTGACTTAAATAAAAACCAACCGATATAGTATATTGTTGTTGTTGTTATGTGCCAGTGAGTTGCCTGCGACATATAGTGACCCTATGTATAGCAGCTTTGAACCCTAACCTGTCCTGAGCCAGTCTCACTAATTCCAACACACCAACCCCCATTATCCCAGATACTGTATCAATCCATCTCATCTAGGGTCTTCCTCTCCTACACTGTCCCCTCCACCTTTATGAGCATGAGGTCCTTCTCTAAGGACCAGGCTCTCCTAGCCGCGTGCCCAAAATATGTGAGGCAGGACCTCAAAATCCTATCCTCCAAAGAGAAACTTGGATTCACCCTCTCCAAGAGAAACCTATTTGTTTTCTGGGTGGTCCATGGTATTATTTGTTTTCTTGGTGGTCCATGGTATGTTTAAGTTTTCTCCATCACTACAACTCAAAGGCACCAATTCTTCTTCTGTCATCCTTATTCATTATCCAGCTCTCTGATGCATAACAGGTTATTGAGAAGACCAGGGCCTGAACCAGGCACACCCCTTAGTCTTTGAACTTATTTCATTGCTCTTCAGCATTTTGGACAGGTCCATGACAGCAGATTTGTCCAATGAAATATGTCTCTTGATTTCCTGGCTGCACCAATGGTGTTGATTGTTGATCCAAGCAAGATGAAATCATTGACAGCTTCAATTCTTTCTTCATCTGTCATGCTGATTTTTGTCCTGTAGTGAGGACCCTTCATTTCCTTGATGTTGAAATTCAATCCATACAAGACTGCAGTCCTTGATCTTCTGCAGCAAACATTTCATATCCACCTCACTTTAAGCAAGGATGGTGGTGTCATCAGCATAAAGCTGGTTGTTGATGAGTCTTCCATCATTCCTGATACTACATCCATTTTCACAGAGTTCAGCTTTGTGAATTATTTTCTCCACATATAGACTGAACAGGAATGGAGAAAGGATACCACCCCGAAACTCACCCTTCCTGATTCTAAATCATGTAATGTTCCCTCGCTCCATTTGGACAACATCTTCTTGATCTAGGAATATATTTATATTAACACAATTAAGTGTTCTTGGATTCCCATTCTTTTCAATATTAGCTATAATTTTCTATGATCCACAAAGTTAACTGTCTTTGCATAGTCAATAAAGCACAAATAGGCATTCTTCTGGTATTCCCACTTTCAGCCAGGATCCTTCTGACATCATCAAGCATATGCCTGGTGT